GAAATGACAAGAAGCAGAACTTTCGCTCTCCCCTCGGCTGCAGGAAACGGAGCCTCTTGTGCTTTGGAGACCGGCTGACCGTGAGCTTCTAGGTTGCAGCAGGTGTCTGCTAAGGCCGGAAGGTGATTTCTGCTTGCCCGGGCCCCTGGGAAGACCTTACCTTTGGAGAAGCCTGGAAAGAGGCCTCGTGACCGAAGTGTCCCTAAAATGGGGACCACAGGGTGCAGGGGGCCTTAGGGGCCGATCATGCCATCCCAAGACACGAAGCGCTCTTGGCGAGACCCAAATCGCTCAGTTTTTTGGAGAAGCAAGTAAATGGCTACACGCCCTTCTTACCAAACCTCCAGATTGCTGGCAGGACTGTCCCGAATGAGCGCGCGGGGCCCTGGGCACCTGCTGGTCCTTCTCGGGGAGGGGAGGGTGGAGGTCCGAGGGTGGAGGGGAAGCGTTCTTCTCATTTCATACGAGGTGGCGAGCTTTCTTCCCTGGGCCCTGCCTCCTTCCAGCTCCCACGTCAGAGGGGCTGTTAGCCCGCAGAGAAGACTGGAATTAATGCCCAGGTTTACCACCCACAAGCATGTTTCGGGTTGTTTTCCACTTTAGCGGGCTTTCGCAGACAACCTTTACCTTTCCATTCAGTTCTGTAGTACTACCTTTGTGTTCTGAGTCATCCTCCTCCGGTGACCAGGAAGATTCTCGGTTCACGGGCACCCTACAGAAGTCATCTTACTTTGTCTTTGAAAGAGCCCTGGGGAGTGGGAGGTGGTGTCCCTGTTTTACGGGAGCATTTGAAACTCAGAGGGGCGGAGCCACGGCTCCAAAGTCACACAGCTTTTCAGAAACCGAGGCAGGATTGAAATTCAGCTGTGACCGGCCGAGGGTGAAATCCTTTCTTCTTTCTCCCGAGTCCAGAGCCCTCTCCGGTGTCACCTGGGAGAGGGGGCCTCTCAGTGAGGTGGGCGCCCATCTGTTTGCACCGCAGTAGCTGGTCCGACCCAACCAGGGGGAGCTCTGGAATGCAGAGACATCCTTCTTGAAGGAGTGGGTTTCTTCCTCCACAAAGGAGAAACATTGTTTGTGCTGAATTTTCTGATGCCCTTCTTTCTCTCCTTCCATCCCCCTCTTGCTCCCCCAACACCCTTGATCTCACAGTTGAGCCCTTACTTGTGTTTCCTGACGTGCATTTCTGCCCTGTAGTCCTAGACCCCAGAGCAGCTGTAGACCCAGGTGGCAAGGACACGGAGCATGTGTCGGTTAAGGGGGTGGCCTGAGAGCCCGGAATCCACATCCTAACTCCGTCCTATGCTAGCTGTGTTAACTGGAACAGATCGCTGGTCCTGCACAAGCCTCGGTGGGTCCAGCCTACACAGAGCTGTGATGCACGTAAATCATCGAGCTCGGTGCTGGGCTTGTGGGAAGTATGACTGAGCTGACGCGTCGTTGTTGATGGTGACCACGGATCCAGTATGTTTACTGATCACGCTGAATACGGTAAACAAAGTTCCTGCTACCAAGATGCATGGACCTCGTGTTTCGGTGGGGGAGAGAGATACTAAGCAAACAACTAACAAAACAAGAAAACCTCAGGTGGTAATGAAGTCATCGTGCCAGTGGTGTGGTAGTGAACCTTGAACATCCATTCTCTGGGGGAAGAAAGAAAAAAGAGCCTCGATTTGTAGCATTTGCCAGTTTTGGGGGTATCGGTATCCCTACTGTGGGGGACTTCAAGTGACCAAAGTGGCACCCACTGACTCTTAAAATGCCTAAAAATTTAACAAGTGGGTCTTGTAAGGCCCCCAGACCTGGCTTCAGCCTTGGGTGTAAGTGCATAATGTGGTTTGGGAAGGATCTGAAGAGCTCTGAAGATGAACTGTACCAGCAGAAGGTGTTCTAGGCAGAGGAGGGCTGTGCAAAAGCCCTGGGGTTGGAGAGAGCTGGGTGTGCTCCAGGAGCAGAAGGTGGTTGGTTTTGGCAGGACTCAGTGGGGTGGAGGGAGAAGTGACAGGCTGGGCCGGCGGAAGCCTCACAGACCACGTTTGGATTTTATTCTAAGGCCACAGGAAGTCTTTGGAGAGTTGTAAGCGGGGGAGTGTCTGTGTCTGATTTGCACTTTTTTTTTTTTTTTTTTAAAGGCTCTTGGGCTATTTTGTGAAAGGCCAGCAAGAGACCAGTTAGGGGAAGTCGTTGTCACCCCAGGGAGACGCATGGATGCTGGGACTGGTGTGCGTGAAAGGGGAGAGGTTGAAGTGGCTGGATTCAGGTAGAACTGTAGGGATGTGACACAATTTTTTAAAAGTATATTTACTTTTATTTATTTTGAGAGACAGAGAGAGAGAGAGAGAGAGAGAGAGAGAGCACGCACATGCACAAGAGGGACAGAGAGGATGAGAGAGAGAATCCCAAGCAGGTTTCACACTGCCAGTGCAGAGCGCTATGCAGGGCTGGAACTCACGAACCCGTGAGATCGTGACCTGAGCCGAAACCAAGAGTTGGACGCTGAACCGACTGAGCCAGCCAGGTGCCCCCAGGGGTGGGACAGGTTTTATCTTCAGGGCTGCTTACCATGAATACACCCAGGCTGCTGCAATTTCTGTTCTGTCCTGGGGAGGAGGAAGGGACTGAGACCATCGGGGCTCACTCTCTGTCCTACCTACTTTTCCTTCTCCACCCAGCGGGATGCTGTGTTTACTGCCTCCTGATCAATCCAGAAGAGGAGGTGAGGAAATCTGTTTATCTTGGGTCCAAATGTAAAGCAAAACCAACAAAAACAAATCTCGTCTCAACTCGGCCCTCCTTCCTTTGATTTGTGCAGAACAGGACCCTGTTCTGCAGTTGGCATGGGGGAGAAAGATGAGAGGTTCTGACTTGGATTTCCATCTTTGCCCTTGGGCAACTCTTGGGTGTGTATGACAGACGGAAATGCTGTGGGTGTCGGCCTGGCAGCTTATGAAAAAAGATGTCACCTGGCTCTGCTCCACTCCCAGCCTGTCTCTGTATGGTTTTTAGAAGGACACGAGAGGACTCCCGTCTTTCTGGAACCGTGCCGTCCAGTAGAACTTTTCTTGACGGCGGACGTGTTCTGTGTCTGTGCCGTCCATCACCATGGCCACTAGCTATCTGTGGCCACCGAGCACTGGAAATGGGGCCAGCATGACTGAGAAACTGAATTTTCCATTTTATTTAATTTTTGTATGTATTGTGTTGGACACCGCAATTCTGGACCACATGTCGTCCTCCATTGCCTTAGAGACTTTGTCTTATGGAAGTTGATTGGAGATCCTAGTTTTTTTTTTTAATTATTTTAAGTTTATTTATGTTAAGAGAGAGAGTGAGCTGGGAAGGGACAGAGCAAGAGCAGGAGAGAGAATCCCAATCTGACAGCACAGAGCCCGACATGGGGCTCGAACCCATGAACCATGAGCTCGTGACCTGAGCCAAAGTCGGACGCTTAACCAACTGAGCCACTCAGGCACCCCTAGCCTGGACAATTTATATTACTCAGAAGCCTATTGCTGTAATTAATTCTTTATATTTCATTTGTTTTAGTAAGCATTTTTGTGCATGACTCCTGACCGCACGATTTTTTTTCTAGGGTACGTAGTGAGAAATGGAATTACCAGGTCATAGGGCATATGTAGTTTTAATTTTTAATTGAAATAGTTATACCAGGTTATGTTCCCGTCAGCTGCGTGAGAGAGTGCCTGTGTGCCGTCTGTAAAACACGTGATTGTATCAAATACCAACATGCATGCCCTTCTAATAGGCAAAAAAATGGTATCCCAAGGTAATTTGCATTTTCCCGTTTACAAGTCAAATCGAACATCTTTTCCAAGCTAATGACCATTTGTTTATCGGTGAGTTGCCTGTTCAAATTTCTTGCTCATTTTCTGTTGGATAGTTTTGTCAATTCATTCAGCAAATGTGTACTGGAATACCTGCCATGTGCCAAGCCTTATTCTGGGTGCCAGGGATGTTGTGGCCAGTAAAATAAACAGACACACCTGCCCTCAGAGAGGTGATAGTCCAGTTGTAGGAGAAGGACCTAAGCAAAAGGAATTGAGGAGCTATGTAATAATGTTAGATGGGATAAAAAGAAGGAAAAGCAGACAGAGAAGAAGGAAGGAGATAGTCCTACCCACTGGGGGTAAGACTCAGTTTTAAACAGGATGGCCAGGAATCTTGTCCTTTACTTATTCATTTGTAGGCATTCTTTATGTATTCTGTGTACTAATCCTTTGCCCGTTCTGTGTCACACACATTTTCCTCCAGTCTTTAATTTTCTTTTGACTCAGATGATGGCACTTTAGCCTTGCTCTTTATTTTTTTTTAATTAAAAAAAAAATCTAACTTGTTGATTAGAATATATTCATGTAAAAAGCATAAGTTTTTTCTTCTGATCTTCCCAAGCAACCCGTGTCAAGAGCTCTGGTTTATCTTTCCTGATTTTTTTTTTAACGTTTTTATTTATTTTTGAGACAGAGAGAGACAGAGCATGAACAGAGAGAGAGGGAGACACAGAATCAGAAGCAGGCTCCAGGCTCTGAGCCATCAGCCCAGAGCCCGACGCGGGGCTCGAACTCATGGACCGTGAGATCGTGACCTGAGCTGAAGTCGGACGCTCAACCGACTGAGCCACCCAGGCGCCCCATTTTCCTGATTATTTTTTTGTCCTCACCACCATGTGACACTCTCCCCACCACCCTGCTGGCAGCTGAGCACTGGCAGTTTCCGGCTGTTTCTCCGTAAATACAGTTCTAATCTCCTACCTTCTCACGGTCGCAAAGGCTCCATTTTGGAGAGGATCTCTGTAATTCATTGTTTGAGCAGCCCTTCTGTTGGGACACCAGGGTTCCTCCTAGTTCTCCTTTCCTCCAGGTGATGGGGCAGTCCTGCACTCCTTCTGCTGCCCAGGAGCTTCTCAGATTTTTGAGGGACTATACCCACCAGCACCCTGCATGCTAGAGGTGTGTAATATTTTGATTTTGTTTTCTCCCCCACAGCTCCATGGCTACATGGAAAACAAGCCCCTCGGGCTTCAGATCTTCATTGGGACAGCCGACGAGCGGATCCTTAAGCCCCACGCCTTCTACCAGGTGCACCGCATCACGGGAAAAACTGTCACCACCACCAGCTACGAGAAGATCGTAGGCAACACCAAAGTCCTGGAGATCCCTCTGGAGCCAAAGAACAACATGAGGGCGACGTAAGGGCTTGGGGGCCGAGGGTGGTGGGTCTTTATGGGGAAGTGGGGGGGGGGACCCAGGGGCAGGGATTTCGTAGCGGGGACTCTCTGGAGTTGAGTTGGTGGAAGGCGTCGTGGATGGTGGTTCCCACTCTGCGATGGGCCCATAGAGATTTGTTTGAAAAGTTTCTATTTCAAAAGCTTTATGTCTAAATACTTTTCTTGTGTGCTGGGAGAAAGACTACCTATGCGTCTTTGGATTAGGTTACTTGGGATGAGGCTAAGTTGATTTACGTGTCAGAACGTATTTTGCCTAAAGAAAATTTTTAAAGACGCAGATAGGTTGAAACTCACAAAGGAATAGGCGTGTAGCTCAAATTTGGGAAACGTTGCACCCGTGCACTGGAGTTAAAAAAAAAAAATCTCTTTATTAGAAAATAACCTTAACTTCCAAACGGTGAGAATTTTACAGAGGACCCTGTCTGCCGTTCGCTCGGCTTTGCCGATTGTGAACGTTTTCCACGTTTGCTTTATCACTTCCTTTGCTCCTCGGTTTTTCCTGAACTGCTAGACACGGTGACTCTTTACCTTTACATAGTTGAGCGTGAATTTCCTCAGGACTAGAACGCCTAGGTTCTTTGGTGACCACAGTACCTTTGTCAAATTAAAGACGTTTAACGCTGATCCACCCCTCTTACCTATCGAAGAGTCTCCAATCAGTTTTGCCAGTTGCATACTTGAGTTTGTCAGACGCTTTTGAGAGTAGAGAAACTGGCATGAAAAAGTTCCCTAGGGAGGTACTTTCCACCGGGGAATTTCTCCAGTGACTTTGTGAGTGTTTGACCCCCATCGGGGCAGTCCGTTCCTGGCTGGAATCCTGATCGGCGGATTGTAATCCGCTCTCCCCGCCCCCGCCCACCTCCCCGTCTGTGGCTGGCGGTGGAACCGTTTTGGTTAACTGACTTAGGTGGTTTTGTGGGTGATCTTGCCTGTTCACCGAGATGGTCAGTTCTAAGTGGGGTTCTCAACCTCCTCGCAGCATTGACTGTGCGGGGATCCTGAAGCTGAGGAACGCGGACATCGAGCTGCGGAAAGGCGAGACGGACATCGGCAGGAAGAACACGCGGGTGCGGCTGGTTTTCAGGGTGCACATTCCAGAGGCCAGCGGGAGGATCATCTCCCTGCAGACTGCATCCAACCCCATCGAATGCTGTAAGTTGGGCGCTGGGCAGCGTCGGCCTTCGCCGCGTATACTGAACGTGACCTTCCGCCCCGGGCAAGGTGCTCAGCAAGAAGGCGCAGGACCCGCAGGGGTCGACAGGGGGCCCGAGATGACCAGAGGGCCCAGACCCAGAGCACATTGAGCGACTTCTCTCCGCTCTCATTTGCTCGTGGAAGGTTTTGTGGCCTCACAGGAAATGAAAAAATAATACAGCTAACGAGTAGCCTCCGGCTTTGTTTAGAGGATTCGAAAACGTATAAATGTTTTGGTCGGAAAAAAGGTAGATGCAGTTGGAGCGAGTTTACTGTACCCAGTGTCTTCTTTTCCTTTCCCTTAGCCTCTCAGTGGTTCTCGCTGACCGAGCGGTGACTCTGCTGGTCAAGATGCTGAACGCCCAGCAGTCAGTAGCTCCTTGAATATTACGGAGGTTCTAGGCCACAGCTGATGCTCGTTGTACAGAAGAGGAGGGGAAGAGATGAGGGGTTGGCCACCCCGGGCCAGCAGGGCTGGGATTGGGACAGGAGCTCTGGCACGCACGACCGTGCCCCCCCCCCCCCCCCCCCAGCCCCTGCTGTCACCCTCGGCCCATCCGTGCCTATTCACTGAGCATCTGCCCACTGTGCCCAAACCAAAATGCAGAGGAACTTCAGAATCTCGTGTGCAGTGGCCGAGATCTGCCGTGTGGAAGGGCTCTGAGCAGAAACGCGGCTCAGTTCTCATCGGGCTTTGAAAGAAGAAGGCGCTTTGGGCTCATTCACGGGTACTTGAGGCAAGTTGCATGATTGGTTTTTGCAGTTAGAGCTGGCAAAGCTTCTCGTTGGCTCAGTGTTTGAGAGTTTAGAAATCATTCGTCCAAGCCCAGAGAAGAAAACAGGAAACGTTGTTGCAGAAACAAAAGCCGTTTATGTTATTTCTGTGTTCTTCGAAGAGTAGTTTTTATGGTGTTACGATCACGTTCCGTATGCAATTATGTTTCGGGATTCTGTTTCCTTTTTACTGAGCATTTTACCCTAACTGTGTGCCACAAAACTCAGTGGCCTAGAGAGGCCGGGGAGGTCACACGGATAAGTGGAGATGCAGTCAGCAGAGAGTGGTGGGGACCAGGGACCAGGAAGGCACATTCCCCACCTGAATGGGCCTGCCTTCTACAACTCCAGCCGGCATTTCCATGTGGGCAGGGAGACTCGGAGGTGGCCGGATCCTCTGGCTTTTTAAGATAAACCCCAAATCTCCTGATTTTTAAAAAGCAGCAACAAATCCAAAATACCGTGTGGATTAGAGAAAATCTTCATGTGGCTTTGATTAATCAGAGAGAGTCTTAATCGGACACTAATGAGTAAAGGAAAAGCATGAATATCTTAGGCAGAAAGGGTTGGGGAAGACGGGCCCTCAGGATTTCATTTATTGATTAAAATTTTTTTTTCACGTTTATTTATTTTTGAGGGAGAGAGAGAGAGAGAGAGAGCACGCGCAGAGGAGGGGCGGAGAGAGAGGGGGACCCAGAATCTGAAGCAGGCTCCAGGCTCTGAGCTGGCAACACGGAGCCCGTTGTGGGGATTGAACTCACGAGCTGTGAGATCCTGACCTGAGCCAAAGTCGGACGGTGAACCGACTGAGCCACCCAGGCGCCCCTGGCCCTCGGGGTTAAAAGCCAGTGAGGAGAGACTGTGGGCCCTCTTGGGGGGAGAAGCCAGACCTTGGTCTTGGTCGGTCTTTGGAAAAAAGATGAAGGGGCCCTAGGATTTCCTCCAGCCACGGGAGTCACGATGTGGATCGGGCCGCACACGGTGCCGAGTCTCTGCTCTGACGTTAGAAGAGAAAGACCCAACAGCACACAACAAGGGAAAACAAGTGTTGAAAACTATGTCAGAAACATGGGAGTTCCCCTGCTCTACCCAGCAGACCCCACCCCTGTCCCCTGAGCGCTGGGCACAGTGGCCGCCTCACTACGGTGATGGTTTTGAACATCTCGAGATGTTTTGGGAAGGAGACCCGGGCTCTTCCTCAGTAATTTGGGGGATTTTGAGAAGATAAGGTCTCCTTTTTCTGGCAGGTGACTCACTCGACAGGATGGGGCTGTGGTTTGTAGCAAGGTGGGGAGCAGGCGGCCTCAGGAGGGACCACACGCCAGAGTCCCTGTTCCTCTCCGTCTCTGGGTCCCTCGGGTCAGTGTATCTCATGTTGATCTGAGAGTTGAAGGATCAGCGCTGAACCACCAGCAAGATCTTCAGGGTGTCCTGAAGTCATTTGAACCTTGAACATGGGCTTTTTTTTTTTTCTCTCTATATTTGGCTGATTCAACTACCTCCTTTTGACAGATAAGGAAACAGACTTTCTTGGTAAAGTGATTCACTCACTTTTTTACTCAGTAGAGCTAGGGTCTCCAGCTTTCTGGTTCTGTGAAATACCTTCTTATGGTTTCTAGAACACCTCCGTTTCTTGCAGGGCCAGACTCAACACCAGCTGGCCACACGCTCTGTCACCCAGAATCTTCTGTCCTTTTTGTTGGCACCTCTGTTCTCTTTTCCGAGACTGGTGCCTGATCGTTAATATAAATATTTATTGACTAATGGGCTTACTATTAGAGATTCAGTAAATATTGACGACTAGTCCGTAGCACATAGTGATGATCCTTCGGGAGATATTCAATAAATATTTATTGACTAGTTGACTTTTGTATATGCCCCCCGGGGAGGGTGAGCTGGTAAGAAAAACATTCAGTGGACTCATACTTATTGGCAAGGCTACCTTACTTTGGAGGTGCTGATTATATAACGTCTTGGGGAATCAAGGATGAGTTCTCAGATTCTAGCGAAAACAGGACAAACCCTGGAGGCCACTCTTGGGAAAGTAGGCCAATTTGCTAGACTTGTAGATTCCTTACGTTGATGCATAGCACGCCGGAGGTCGAATGTCACCTTTGCATAGACGGGTGCTCTGTGTGTTTCTCTTTGCACGAGACGTTCAGTATTGCCAAGGAGATGCTCTCAGTCCCCTCCCTGATTGTCAGCAGAGCCGATTTCGAAGCTTCTCCAGTCCGCCTGGCTCTGGGTGCCGTCCCCAACCCTTCCCAGTCCTGATGGATAACCGGGTCTCCCCGGCTTCTCTGGGAACGTAGGAGAGTTCAGGAGGGAACACGCTTGTCTTCCCCGACGACAGACCTCTAACTCTGCTCTCAGGGTTCTGGAGGCCAGAGACCAGAGCCCAGAATCCAGGTGACCATCAGATTGTTCCTAATGGAGACTCTGAAGGGGGGATGTTCCAGGCCCCTCTCCTAGCGACTGGCAACGGCCGGCAGGCACTCTTGACTCTCCTTGGCTTGTGGGTCCGTGACTCCAGTCTCTGCCTCCTGTTCACGTGACCCTGTTGTCTGTGTGTCCTTCTCTGTCTCTTATGAGGACACTGTCACTGGGCTCAGGGCCCCCACTAATCCTGCACAATCCACCCTCCAGTTTTACCTTATTTGTGCCTTCAGAGATCGTATTTCCAAATACAGCCACGTTTGAGGTTCTGGGTGCCTGGGGCTTTGTTCAACCCATGACCCCTCCTCCTCAGCTACATTTCTTGATGTCTCAGTCGCCTCTGGCCCTCAGTTCCCAAATCCACTGGGCTCTTTCTCTGTCCTCTCTCATGGCTTTTGCCCACACTGTCACCTCCATCCAGAACGCTGGTTCTCAAACTTGGCCGCACACTGGCACCACCTGGGGAGTTATTAAAAAACAAAACAGAAAACCCCCCAATGTGTTGCCCGAATCCCACCCCAAAGATGGCAAGTCCCTTGGTCTGTGGTGGGGTCTGTGCATGGAGAGTTTTTGGAGGTCATCCAGTGATTCTGATGTGCTGGGAAGCGTGGGGCCCGCTCACCTTGCCCCCTCCGGTCCCTCGGTTGGCTCCTCCTTATCCAAGGTTGCTGTGTCCATGGCCCCTCAGGGAGGACGCACGCCCCCGACCCTACAAGGTACAGGTCCCCCACTCTGTGCTGACAACCCAATTTACTCCTTGGTCTCTCTCCTGTAAGGACAGAGACCAGAAGGCATCAGCCAGGGCCCGGCACATAGCACCTATCTCTAAAATGTTTGTTTAAAACAAAAATCGTGAACGCCAGCCTCTCCAGGCTGCCCAGCGCAAGAAGAAGGTGATGAGGAAGCAGAAGGGGGCTGTCGGCAGGTGCGAAGGCCTTGTCCCATGAGCGTCTCTCTGGGAATCTCCTCCCTGCCCCTCTCTGTTCTTCGAGAGAGCACCCAAGGCGGTTTTCCACCAAGTCCTGCCCACTCCCGGCACAGAATAGGAATCCACTTTGCTCCTTGTGTAGGCACTGGGGCGTGGGTGCATGGTGTAGACCAGAAAGTAGGTTTTCTCACATGCTCTTTTCAGCGCCTCCCTTCTCGTGACATAACTGTGTGTCACCGAGTTCTAATTGAGATACAACAAATGACACAGAGCGTGCGTCTTCAGTTCAATGATTTTCAACAATTCAACGGACCTGCGTAACCACCGCTCACAAGGAGACGCGGGACATTTCCTTCCCTCCTGGAAGGGCCCTCACACCCCACAGCCAGTGCCGCCTCCCCATCCCCACACACAGGCAACCACCGTTCTGATTTCTATCACCAGAGATTAGCTTTCCCTGTTCTAGAACCTCACGCCATGGCATTGGACAGCGTGTACTTTGTGTCTGGCTGGTTTCGCCCAGCATCAGCTCGGTGCTTTTGAGAGCCATTGCTCTTATCACTTGACTCTGGCTGCTGTGAACCTTCTGATCCAAATGCTTTCACTGCCCTTGGGTGAACACCCGGGAATGGAATGGCCGGTTCACGGGGAAAGGTTATGCTCCAGTCTATGTATTTTCCAAACCATAAAATGATTTACTCTGAGCCAGAGTGCATGAGAGCTCCATCTGCCCCACGTCCTTACTGGTGTTGGCTTCTGCCCGTCTTTTCTACCGGGAGCCACTCCGGGAGCGGAAAGTGGACCTCCTCATGCATGATTT